GTGTGTGTGTGTGTGTGTGGGAATGTGTTTTGTTTATTTGGGGATCACATTTTTGGCTGGAAAAACCACAGCCGACATACAGGCGCCAGTTATCCTAACCACATTCCTCTCCTCACTTAACCTAACCTAACCTGACCTGACCTGACCTGACCTTCGCACTTACAATAAAAAAAGAGTGTAATCCTTCCCACCACCAAAGACCAAACACACACACACACACACACACACACACACACACACACACACACACACACACACACACACACACACACTATCTCTTCACATAACACCGTCTCCCTATCCCCACACCCCCCCACCCCACCCCTACCCCTCCACGAAACACGATTTGCATCTGCCAATTACGCGGGTCCGGGCGGTCATCTGCAGGCCGCCGTGGTTGGCCAACTTCAGAGCCGGGACCTCGGAGCACAGACGGGTTATTTGATTATACTATGTGCTGAGCCAGTCACTCCTCCTCGGGGCCACACTAACTTGCTAATTCCTACTTGTCCAGAAGCCACGCACCGCCACTGACGGCTATGGTGAACTATGAAGGGCTATAGCTGGTTATGGGGGGTGATAGGAGAGGCTACTAAGGGCTACAAAGGGCTACTAGGGTCCACAAAGGGCTACAGTTGGTTGTGACGGGCTGATGAGGGTAACTATCTATCTAAAAGTAAGAGTTGAACCTACGTGGACAGGAAGAAGGGGAAGAGGAGCAGAAGGAGGAGGGGTAAGAGGGGTAGCAGAAAGAGGAAAAGAAAGTGGGTAGGAGGAAGAGAAAGATAAGGAGGAAAACGAGAAGGAAGAAGACTAACAAGAAGAGGAAAAAGAAGAGGAATAAGAGGAAAATGAATGAAGAAGAGGAGGAAGGAAGAACAGGAGTAGGAAAAACAGGAAGGAGGAGGAATAGTTAGCAGTAAGAGGAATAGGTAGAAGGAGGAAAAGGAGAAACAACGGCAGAAGGAAAAGTAAGAGTAGAACTAGGAAGAAGATAAGGAATAGGAGGAGGAAGAGGAGCAATAACAGGAGGAATAGGCAGGAGTAGAGTAACAGCAGGAGTAGGAGTAGGCAAAAATCCACCTATACTTCCACGGTCTATATGCAAATTGATCAAGTGTCAGAAGGAAAAATTATTACGAGTAGATGTTCACGATGCTAGGTCATCCAATTAAGGCGTCATTCTTCTACCCTTAACTGAATCAACATGGTGTGTGTGTGTGTGTGTGTGTGTGTGTGTGTGTGTGTGTGTGTGTCATCTAATCGCTAAAATGCTAATTATAAGACTCAATGGGACTCTTAATCTATAATAATTTAGAGGGAAATTATTTGGGGCATCCCTGGTTTGTTGACAGTAATTCTTGTTTATTTTGTGTTTGTTTGTTTGGTTTGTTTTATAACTCAATGGTTTATGAGAGTAAAGTTAGATCATACGGATTAACCTGAAGATTAGTCACCCCAGTTTATTTCATTTAGAGATAAATCACCCTAAGGTTACCTGGGGAGGTTAGGTTAGCTTAGATTAGGTTAGGTTAGCATTAGAGAGGTTAATCTTTAAATGAAAGAAGCTGGGGTTCCTAAGCTTCATGTAGTCTTAAAATTAATCTACTTCCGTGAGGGGCTGGGGAGAGGGGGGCTGGGACTGGGGAGAGGGGGCTGGGGGAGAGGGGCTGACCTGTGTAAATGGCGGAGGGGAGTCGAGAAAAAGAGACCAGATTCTGTGACTTAATTCTAAATCAACACAACGAGAGGCTCACCAGGAAGTGGATCTCTCTCTCTCTCTCTCTCTCTCTCTCTCTCTCTCTCTCTCTCTCTCTCTCTCTATGTCTCCGTATTGTTTAGAAGACCTGGAGCTACAACAGAGATACCAAGTAGTACCTGTGGAAGACCTGGCTCTCCTGTAGAAGCATCCTGAAGGGGCCTGAAGCCGTGTACAAGTCCAATCAGTGTGGGGATGAGAGACAAACAACGACTCGGAACTAACGAACGACAACGTATTTTAACCGTCTCTACAACGTATTTTAACCGTCTCTTTGGCCTTCTTTTGAATTCATCAGATGAGAAGAAGTGCGTCGAGATTTTTCTCTTTCTGCCTTTTGAAACCACACGGGGAAACTTTTTTTTCCCCTCTAGTCTTTTTTTTTTCTTTCTTTTTTACCAATTTCCAATTAAGCGATGTCTGGGAATAATTTCCAGTGGTTCGGCACAAAAGGATTTCTTTCCCCCGTCGTGTGAGGCCTTTATGAAGATGGCGGAAAAAAAATCGAACTCAAATCAAAGAAAATATTTCTTTTTTTCAGGGGAGACTTTGGTAAAAAAAAAATTCGAACAAAAAAGAAATGCCGATATTGTCACTGGGATCATCTGGTGTTGTGGGAAGAAGAGGAAGGAGAGGAGGAAGAGGAGGAGGAAGAGGAGGAGGAAGAGGAGGAGGAGAGGGGATAAAAGTGACAGAAGGGGGGGAGGGGGACGGACGAGGAAAAGACAGGGTAACAGATGATGACGGATGTGAGGAAAAAGTCGACGATGAAGATTAATTCTGAGGCGTTGTAACAGTGAAGGATTTTGCCTCAGGACTCTTATATTTTTATACAACCTCCATTGAGGAGTTTTTGAAGGATATCTCTTTTTGCTGATTATTCTTTGGGGGGTTGGTGTGTGTGTGTGTGTACCAAGGTGAGTCTCATGTATGTGTGTGCGTAATGTACCACCATATGTGTACCATTAAGCTCACCACATCATCACCTGCCTGGCACTCACAGCAAAAGACCAGCTGGCACTACATCAGTTACCAGGTGGCATTTATAACCCTGTGTCACATATTGTTGTTGTCCTAAACGTCAAGATAAAAACACCACCAATCTGACGTCATGCCCTCTCACTCCTTCAGCCTGGCCTCCCGTGTGTTATTACTGACGGTGATGCCATGGTCAAGATTCCTCCGATATCATGGCCAAGACTTCTCAAATATCATGGCCAAGACTTCTCCGATATCATGGCCAAAACTTCTCTGATATCATGGCCAAGACTTCTCAAATATCATGGCCAAGACTTCTCCGATATCATGGCCAAGACTTCTCAAATATCATGGCCAAGACTTCTCAAATATCATGGCCAAGACTTCTCCGATATCATGGCCAAGACTTCTCAAATATCATGGCCAAGACCTCTCTGATATCATGGCCAAGACCTCTCTGATATCATGGCTAACACTTCTCTAATCTATTACGGATTTAATGGTCCATGTCATTACGTTAGCTATTAATACTAACACGAGATTAAAAGGATTCTCAATGTCTCTTTCAATTACTGTTTCGTTTTTGTCTGTCTGTTTGTCAACTTATTATTTCTTACATGGTTAAATTCCTTGAGTACGATGACTTAACCCCCCCCCCCTTGAGTACAGTATCATATTCGTTGAGTACCATAAGTTAGTTAATTATGCTATATTAACCTTTTGGAATACGATGATTTATTCCCTTCAGGAGTCAGGTCAATGAGTCAGTCCTTTACTTTACTGGGTCACGTCTGGGCATTGGGTCATCTCTTCACCTTCACCCCCCACCTCCCCTCACGACACCACTATTGCAAACTCTTTTCCAATACTCACAGTGACATGAAATTTGGAGGATCGAGGATTTAAAGGGAATCTGAATCTGATGGTGTCGTCTGTTTTTTTTTGTGTGTGTGAGAGAATTGAAGCTGTAAACCAAACAACAGATATTTGAGGAAGAAAAACAAAAATAGACGCTATTTTTTTTTTTGTGTGTGTGGGGTGTGGGAAGAGGGGAGCTACCACACTCAGAGAAGAGCTACCACACTAAGAGAAGAGCTACCACACTAAGAGAAGAGCTACCACACTCAGAGAAGAGCTACCACACTGAGAGAAGAGCTACCACACTAAGAGAAGAGCTACCACACTGAGAGAAGAGCTACCACACTGAGAGAAGAGCTACCACACTAAGAGAAGAGCTACCACACTCAGAGAAGAGCTACCACACTCAGAGAAGAGCTACCACACTCAGAGAAGAGCTACCACACTCAGAGAAGAGCTACCACACTCAGAGAAGAGCTACCACACTCAGAGAAGAGCTACCACACTCAGAGAAGAGCTACCACACTCAGAGAAGAGCTACCACACTCAGAGAAGAGCTACCACACTCAGAGAAGAGCTACCACACTCAGAGAAACTTTTGTGTGCTCTCCCATCACAAAATTAATAGAAAAGTTGTTAATCTATGTAAATAAAAACAGTTTATTGGTTTGTGAAGATATGGTGATAGTTACATAACGTCTCTTGCGTAATCATTACAACCAAGTCAAGTGTCTGTATTAAGTATACTATCAGACAAGCTGACTCACTGACAACTCATCTGCTGACAAACTGACACACCAGCTGACACACGCGGATTGGCACGGTGACGCCTGGTGGTGACGCCTGGTGGTGATACCTGTAAGTAGAGTGCTAAAATACACTCTTCATTATGGCACTGTTAAGAATCTAATACTGTCAATGCATCGATACCTCTTGGACAGTACCTGGTGATGTTTTGGCACTCACCTATGGGGCACTGTCCTCTTATTTCCCTACTTTACCCTCTTTATCATATACTCTTACTGTTATTTATTTTCCTTATATACTTTTAATCCTCTACCTCTTTCTCCTACTCTTCTTCCTCCTTCTCTTACCTATGGCACCCTCCCCTATGAGCTCCACCCTCCTCCCTACCTATGGCTCCACCCCCCTACCTATGGCCCCCACCTCCCTACCTATGGCACCCACCCCTCCGTGCCTCGCTGAGACCTTACAAATGAGGGAACCTGTAGAAAAAGGTTGATGAGGGCGTGGTGATGGTCGAGTGGTAGTGGAGACGTGGTGACAGAGGGAGAGGGGTCGTCGAGGGGGGGGGGTTACACAGGTAGTGGGGGGGAGGGCATGACGGAGAAGGGGGCGTGGCTGGGGGGACATTTTGGCACCGAACCTAACAAGAACAGTAGTGAGCCAGGTGTATGTGTGTGTGTGAGCACGTATGTACGAGTGCGTGTGCGTGTGTGTAGGAGCCACCGTCACCAGCACCAGTAACTCAGAGTCTGGCCAGCAGTGTACGCAGAGACCCGGTAAGATGCGGGACTACAGACCCACCTACAGGAGCCACTCAAGGCTGGTATCGAAATCACAGAAGACGGTGAAGAAGGGGGAGGTGATCCTGACCTCTGAACCCTTCGCCCACGTGATCAACTTCGAGTACTCCTCCATGTACTGTAACCACTGCCTCGGCTCACACAAGTAGGTCCCGGGGCCCCTGTTGTTGATACACTCACCCACCCTTACTGTTACTTACACACACACACACACACACACACATACTCTGACTTGAATGCCTGTGGAAGAGAGAGAGAGAGAGAGAGAGCTGCCATGTGTGTACAGTATGTGTTATGCGTGTGTCTGTCTGTCTGTCTGTCTGTGTGGGAGTCCCTGTTGAGAGCAATACATAAACAGTTTCCTTCACTTAATTCACCATCATCCCACCGTAAACAGACTTTGGTATTGTGGACGCCTTCTTGTTACAGGTCAAATGGATCTCTCTCTCTCTCTCTTTCTCTCTCTTAAGCAGTCCATTAACCCATTGTAGCCGGTGCAAAATAATGCTATACACTAAGACGATAATAGTTCCATAATGAAGCTTTTTACCTTAAGTCATATAGAATAATAACCTTTAGCTACGAGACTCCTTCCTCCATCTACCTTCCTACCTATCCACCAAACTACCTACCTATCCTTCGCTCCGGTTATCCTTCCATATAACCGGATCCAAGCCATGACTATAATTACAGGTACAGATACAAATACAGGTACAGAGGCTTCACACTGTACCCAAAACAAACACTGAAGATCAAAGTACATTATTGTGTTACCTAATAGTGTATACAAAGAGAATACAGGAGAATAACCACTTTACAAACACACACACACACACACACACACACACACACACGGGGAGGGAGAGGAGGGGGGGAGGTGATGGAGCGAGAGAAAGTGACAAAGAAAAGTAAAAGAAAGAGACGGACCCAATTGAGAGAGATGGAGGTTGTAGAAAATGGAAATGGAGGAGAGGGGGGAGGAGGGATGGAGAAAGGATGGAAGGAGAAGAAAGAGAGAAAACGAAGAGAATTGTAAGGGAAAGACACATTGAGCAAATGGAAGGGAGGAGGAGGGAAATGGGGAGAAGGATACAGTGAAAGGCAAGAAAAAAGAGTAAATACGGAGGAAATAAAATAAGAACAAGTGAATAAAGATGAAGAACATAAGAGGAATAAGAAGGAAATAAATGAAGAAGAGAATGGTAGTGAGTCACAAGCTGAAATAGTCTTGTATTTGGTGCCAGGGAAAAAAAAGCGGAAAATTTACGTTCAACGCTTTTCCTGAGACGTGTGTGAAGGTATTATAGTCTAGTCTGGCATTGTCCTAGTTAAGAGAGTCTGTCTGTCTGCCTGCCACACACACACACACACTGTACTTGGTAAGGTACGAGGTATACGCCAAGTAGTGTCTGTAAACAAGTTGTGGTTTCTGTCCATTTTAGAGTCTGGTTCCTCATCACTGCCGTCACTCATCACTGCCGTCACTCATAAACGACATACTGTAGATATCGGCGTAGACAGCAACATAAGTAAATTTGCTTATGACACTACAGTATATAGAGCGTGTAATTAAATCTAACGAGGACTCCGCAAAACTACAAGAAGATCTAAACAAATTTTTCGAATGGTCTGAAAAATGGCAGATGAAATTCAATGTGGACAAATATAAAGTACTTAGTCTAACAGATGTAAACAGAGAAACCAGATACCAGATGAACAACGATGTTATAGAGAAATCTGACTGTGAGAAAGACTTAGGAGTAATGATAAGTAAGAATCTGAAGCCAAGTAAACAATGTGCATTTGCTCGAAACAAGGCTAATAAAGTACTTGGGTTCATACAAAGGAATGTTAGTTACAAGACTAGCGAGGCCATCCTAAAACTATACCTTGCGCTTGTGAGACCTCACTTGAATTACGCAGTTCAGTTTTGGTCACCGTACTACAGAATGGATCTAGAATCCCTAGAAAGAATTCAGAGGAGAATGACAAGACTAATCCCGGGCATTAGGAACCCTGAGTACAGAGACAGGTTAAAGCACCTTAATTTGCACTCCCTTGATAGACATAGAGCGAGGGGCGACCAGATAGAGGTGTATAAATGGAAAGTCAGGGCTAAACAAAGGGGATATTACAAAGGTACTCAAACTATCCAACCAGGAGCGAACTCGTAACAATGGTTTTAAATTAGACAAATTTAGATTTAGGCGCAAAATAGGTCAACACTGGTTTGGAAATAGAGTAGTGGGCGAGTGGAACAAGTTACCAAACATCACCATTAACTCGAATACGCTGAACAGCTTCAAACATAGGTTGGATGGATATATGAGTAATAGGGGTTGGGTGTAAACGGGACTGCCCAGTTTGGACCAATAGAACCACTGCAGTTTCCTCCATTCTTATGTTATGACTCGACCGCAAGCCAGGTGTATTCTAAACTTAATTAACGACAGGTAATTAATGGACGACTCTGAGAATTTGGCCCTGTGTGGATTACTGTCTAAGCTTATTCTCCTGGATTAGACGGTAGTATTGTGTGCTTCCTATAACACACACACACACACACACACACACACACACACACACATGCCACACACACACACACACACAAACAAACAAAGCCCCCGCCCCTTTTCCCGTTCTGACCAATGGAGAGTGCAGCAAGGTTCCCTCCAAAACAGTACCTGTCGACAATACCTGTTCCTCCACGGTATCTGGACGTATGGTACCACTTAGTGTGTTAGGAGACGTGCACGGTACCACTTAGTGTGTTAGGAGACGTGCATGGCAACACTTTAGTGTAAAATAGGAGACGCAATTTAAAAATTAATGAAAAGTTAGGGAGACGTGCACGGTACCACTTAGTGTGTTAGGGAGACGTGCACGGTACCACTTAGTGTGTTAGGGAGACGTGCACGGTACCATTTAGTGTGTTAGAAGACGTGCACGGTACCACTTAGTGTGTTAGGGAGACGTGCACGGTACCACTTAGTGAGTTAGGGAGACGTGCACGGTACCACTTAGTGCTAGGGGAGACGCATCAAATTAATTTCAGTAAAGTTAGGAGACGTACGGTACCACTTAGTGTGTTAGGAGACGTGCACGGTACCACTTAGTGTGTTAGAGACGTGCACGGTAAATTACCCTAGTGTGTTAGGAGACGTGCACGGTACCACTAAAGTGTTAGGGAAGACGTGCATGGTACCACTTAGTGGCTAGGGGAGACGCACGGTACCACTTAGGCAAAAGTTAGGAGGACGCACGGTACCACTTTAGTGTTAGAGACGCATGGTAACACGCTTAGTAAAAGAGAGATGTGCACGGTACCACTTAGTGTGTTAGGGAGACGCACGGCAAATTAATTTAGTAGTTAGTGACGCACGGTACCACTTAGTGAGTTAGGGGAGTGCACGGCAAATTACCCTATGTGTTAGGGAGACGTATGAACAATGAAGGGGTTAGGAGATGTACGACCACTTAGTGTGTTAGGGAGACGTGCACGGTACCACTTAGTGAGTTAGGGAGACGTGCATGGTACCACTTAGTGAGTTAGGGAGACGTGCACGGGACCACTTAGTGTGTTAGGGAGACGTGCATGGTACCACTTAGTGAGTTAGGGAGACGTGCACGGGACCACTTAGTGTGTTAGGGAGACGTGCACGGTACCACTTAGTGTGTTAGGGAGACGTGCATGGTACCACTTAGTGAGTTAGGGAGACGTGCACGGGACCACTTAGTGTGTTAGGGAGACGTGCACGGTACCACTTAGTGAGTTAGGGAGACGTGCACGGTACCACTTGCGTGTAATGAAGAGGTACTGTAAACAAATAACTCAGGCAACAGTCAAGATCTAGGTGTGGGAGGTGAGCCAACAAGAGTACGTGTGTGTGTGTGTGTGCGTGTGTGTGTCATCCTTCTTACTTCTCCTTCCTTTCCTCTATTTTCTTCGTTCCTCCCTATATATTTCATCTCTTCGCCGTTTATCTTATTCTCTTCCCTCTTTTCACTTCAAAGTCGTCTTTTTTTTTCATCTTTTTTTTCCTATCCTTTACGCGGTTTTTCTTCTTCATTTTCCTTCATTCTTCTTTATTTTCTCTCTTCACTGTTTTCAAATCTCTTCCTCTGTCTTCCTAATTAAAAATATCTCCCCTTTATTCACATTAATTGTCTTCTCAACACGTATCATTAGGCCCACCGAGAACCAATAACAAGGCTCCTAAACTATCCAACTACATAATGACTAATGTGGAGGTAAACACAGACGAATAGAAAAATCTCCTGTACTTCGAAATATTGTCAAGGAAACACAAACACAGACAGACAGACATAAAAACATTCAATCTCTTGTGCCCCCGGAATAGTGAGATGAGATGAGGTGAAGGTAGAGGTGAAGGTGAGGTGGACAAACATGAAAATCTCACCATCTTTGGCTACATAAACGTGAGGTTGTTGACAAGTAAAACACAGGTAAATCTCTCACACCCACTTGACCCACTACACAAACACCAATCTTGAACAGTCTCTTGTCCAACTTTTCACTCGGGTATAAAGTTAGGTGTGGGATTTTGACAGCAGGGAAGAGTTTTACGAGTCATTTTTAAGGAGTAGCGTAACATATAGTAGATTAAGAATGCCACCGAGGTTTAAATAAGTGTGTACAAGGCCACGGTGGGATTGTTACCTCTAAATCCATGTTATAAAATAGACTATGTGTATTATTGATTTTAAAAGTGTTTCATTACCTTTTAAAATTCAACTTGTGTACCGGAGGAAAATATCTAACAAAAAAAATGTGGCAATGTCTTCAAAACTCATAACCTAACCTAACCTAACCTAACCCAGTAATATTAAAATTCGTCAAAACTCCTCAACTCATGTCACCTTGTATGTAAATTTGTGTACCAGTCCCTCACCAAACTTGTGTTGTGTGCTGGAAAGAATAAAATACTTCGCTTCTCTGGACGTAAATTCGGGTTTTTTTTTTCGAGTTCCTTCAAAACCTGGCTTGGCGTTGTGTCGCTCGCTGGCCACATGTCGGCTCGAGGCCCTCCAAAGGCAACCCCTCCCCTTGAAACCAGAACCTTCTCGCCCCCTTTACATTTTTTATCAAATATTCCTCCCTCCCCCCCCCCCTTTTATAAAAACGCCTCTGCTATCTTTCATACACTTTCCACTCTTTTTTACTCAAACATTTTCTCTCCTGTTGTATCATATATTCTATCGACTTTTATCCTTTTTTATTGACTTTTGGACCTTCTACCTTTTATACCATCCGAGCAAAAATTGAACCCGGTTGTGTTTGAAGTCGTTTAGCATATGTTGTACGGTCGCCTTACTGCACACCACCGCACTATTTTCTCCTATATCTTCCTCAGCGTCTAAAATAAGGTCTTAATTGACTTCACACTTCAATATTACCTACTGTTCAATTAACGAAATAAAATATTAACGGGAAAAAATTATTCGGTTGATGTACTCGAGTTTCCCTTATAGTTTCAGTCAATTTTTTCCCCTTTGAATAACACATTTGGAACAGGAAGGATATTAATGCCTCAAGAGTGCTATATACATACTCGGAAGAAGTGCTTTAAATGTGTGTTGTTTTACCTTCCTCCTCACAGAACCAAGATGATCCACATGTGTCAAGGATGCCGCAAGAATTGGTACTGCAGCGATGAATGTGAGAGACTATCCTGGCCTATCCACCGGTACGAGTGTGACAACCTTAAGAGGCTCGACCCCTACACTCCTCCAGACTTCGTGAGGCTTATGGCCAGGGTCATCCTTAGGCTCAGGGTAAGTAAGTTCGAGGAGGAGGTTAAGGGTGGGAGTGGGGATAGATAAATAGTCGTGTTAAGATAGATATTGCTATTACAGTTAAGACACAAGAATAGGAATAGGTTCAAAGTCTATTACACCTAAATTAATATATGGATAGAGATGAATATATATATTTTACTCGAGAATATATAGAGGATAGGATAGATAGGTAAAGGGGATAGGATAAATAGGTAAAATATATACTTATCAGGATAAATTTTAAGTGGATAGGCGAACAGCTAGAAAGGGGACACACAGACGAGTTGGGCATGGTGGCGCGGTCGGGTGGTGGTGGTTAAGATTGTACGGGGCCACGTCTTGATCTGGCCCAGCGTTAGTCCGCTCGTCTCTCAGAGGTTCGCGAGTTTGGAGACGTAAACATCGACTTTAATCCATTCATATCACTAAACTGATTACACAAGACGATTATTCTTTTTTAACCATTTCTGGACGAACAAGAAGTATAAGTAAAATATTCCTTAATAATATTGCCTGGAGTCGAGACCCTGAGATAACCATTGATTGTGGCTGCTGTTATCTTGCTTATTGTCTTACCAGAGTGTTTCTACCGCAAATCGACCACTGATTGGCCGATCGTACGACGGAGGTAGACAAACTCAGCCAATCAAATTCCATCATGGCCGTCATTTATGGTTTTAATTAGCTTGTGCAGGTAATCAAGAACACCTTTTCTCTGACCACCACACCATTAGGTTGTTATCTTAGCCCAGTCGTGTTATCACCCTCGGCATGGTGACAGGTAACAGGCACCTGGGGATGATAACACCACCTGTGGAAGCATAACCATCACGATAACAGCCCCCCTTGTGATAACTGTCATGGAAATTACCACCTTGGCAACTCGACTGATAGTGGGTATCTTGGCCAGGGGGAAGGAGATGACGTCAGAAGTGATACAAGGAGTTGAATTCACCAAAGAAATACAATTCATGTGTTAGTAATGGTGGGAATTGAGGAGGGGGGGGCAGAGAGAGGGGAGAGAGAGGAGGGAGAGAGGGAGGAGAGGGGTGTGAGAGAGGGGAGGTAAGAGGGTGAAGCAATCCCACTGAAACAACCTCTACATTGGGTGGGGAAGAGGAGGAAGAGGTTACCACTAATATACCAAGAGTAGAATCAAGAGGGAATCAAGAGGATGACTTATAATACAATACCTGAATTCAACCGTAAATACAACCACTAAAACACGATACATCAGTTAAGAGGAGGGAGGGGAGAGAGGGGGGGGAGAGAGGGGGAGGGAGGGAGGAACCAACCCTTACAATACGTAGATTAATGGATGGGAGACACCACTACTGAATTGACACGTTGAGTAGAAAGGGAGAGGGAAAAATTACACCACTCAAATACGTCATTGAAGGGGAGTTATTATCACCACTGAGCTACAATAACTTAGTTGAAGGGGGAGGAGGATACCGGCAGTCAAATACAATAGATAGATTGAAGGGGGAAGATAATATCACCCCTGCAACACAATACGTGGGTTGAAAGGGGGAGATAACATCACCCCTGCAACACAATACGTGGGTTGAAGGGGGAGATAACATCACCCCTGCAACACAATACGTGGGTTGAAGGGGGAGATAACATCACCCCTGCAACACAATACGTGGGTTGAAGGGGGAGATAAAATCACCCCTGAACGTAATTTAAGGGGGAGGAGATAACATCACCCCTGCAACACAATACGAGGGGTTGACGGGGGGGGGATAGATAGCGTGTTTTAAGGGGGAATTATATCAATTTCACACGCGAGTTAACGGGGAAGGAAGGGACTCAACAGAAACAGGACTCAACAGAAACAGGACTCAACAGAAACAGTACTACAGGAGTTATGAGAGACTGAGTGAGGTCTTGTAGTTTTGTAGCTGTAGGAGGAGTGAGGTTAGGGTGGGGTGCGGTGGGGTGCGGTGGGGTGGGGTGCGGTGCGGTAACAGTATGAAAAGCAGTACATGGAAATTTAACCGCAAATTAACCAAAACAGCAGCAGATACAAGCCTTATAAGCAATAGAAAGCAGCTAAAGGAAGTAAAGTAACGGTGGCAGCAACAGTAACAGACCCAGAGCAACAGAAACAGCAACAATGGCAGCAACAGGAGGAGCAACAGGAGCAACCCAACCCAACCCAACCCAACCCAACCCAACCTGGCCTAAGGAAACCAACTCTAGCGACACTAAACCTCATCCGTCTGAACAGTGAACGGGGTAATGGTCTCTGGAGGCACCGTAAGGCCGTGTCCTCTCGTTAATGACCTTTGACCTGGCTTTATCACCATATGACCTGGCTCTATCACCTTCGGAGTCTATAATGTTGACTTACAATTTGATTTTGACAGGAATTATGACTCGGAATTTGATTTAGAATTGGAGATTAAGGATGATCTCTCTCTCTCTCTCTCTCCCTCTCTCTCTCTCTCTCTCTAATAAGCATAATCCACGCGTATAAGGGCATGGTGTCCTCTGATTGGTCCTCGCCTATAATGATTCCAACTACGAAACATCCTGCCACTGTGTTAAGGTTAGGTTAGGTTAGGTTAGGTTAGGTTGGGTTGGGTTGGGTTGGGTTGGGTTAGTTTTGATTGATACGTTATTGGTAAGAGACTACTGGTGAGCTACTGACGTCATGGTATGTAAGGACCAATCAGCACACATCATGGTATATAAGGACCAATCAGCGCACATCATGATACAGAAGTACCAATCAACACACATCATGATATATAAGCAAGGACCAATCAGCGCACGCCAATCCCACTCATTCGCGTAATTCTGCCAAATCGGTGCCTAACACGTCATAAACTTGTCACGATGGTCAATAAACGGGGGCGAGACGCGTTCATCTTACTCTTAATACACGTGTAAGCTCTCAGGGGCCGCGCTACACCTCCCTCACTACACTACACCCCGACGAGGAGGAATAACAAGGTGGTAGTTTAATTAGCGATCCTCTCCATTGCCGTGCGTGAGAGAATTATTTGGGTAAGGGAGGAGAGTACTGCTGGATCTAGTTACGAGAGAGAGAGAGAGAGAGAGAGAGAGAGAGAGAGAGAGAGAGAGAGAGTTTCTTTGAATAAATTTGGTATTTCTTATCCCATGGGAAAATACAATACATAATTTTTTTTTTTTAGAATTCGGGTTAGGTTTTCTTTCTCTTCTTCTTCTCTCTCTCTGTGGGAGTGGGGAAAGTTGAGGTTTGACACTGCTTTACTGCCGTACCAACCAACTTTCTACTGGAGGAATGTGTTTGTGGAGCCAGAATTATATGTTAGGAGCCATTAACACACAGACCTGGGTGAGTTTTGTTGCTCGGGGGAGAGAGAGAGAGAGAGAGAGAGAGAGAGAGAGAGAGAGAGAGAGGGCGAGAGAGAGAGAGAGAGAGAGAGAGAGAGAGAGAGAGAGAGAGAGAGAGAGAGAGAGAGAGAGAGAGACTTACCTGTCATCACCACTACCTATCAAATATATCCGTATAGTAACCAACAAACAGTACAGTATATAGGTGGGAGACTTAACACGAGCAGGAACTAAACTGAGAATAGTCCAAAAATATTCCCTGGTTCGGAGAGTTGAATGTTCTCCCTTGTAACTAACAGAACATTCTATGTATGTATGTATGTATGTATGTATGTATGTATGTATGTGTGTATGTGTGATAATGATGTAGGTACAGGCCGGTTATCTCCGTGACATCCTCTTCATCACGGCACATGATTCCCCGGGGCTCTACTGCCAGCGTTATGGCACCTTCTGACGTCACTGCCATCATTCTCTGGCCTGGCACTCATACATACATGCAAGTAAATCACTGTAGGTGCGCGTGATCTAGGTATATGAAAAAGACCAAATAATTACCATACTATTATTACTTACGTTTAAGGATTAATATCTTTGTTTCAGCCTGACAGAAATGGTTTGGGCTGGTATTAGGTTAAGAGAGGGTACAGTAATAAAGCTTTTCTGATTACGCTACAGTTTCTACACGACCAGCCAACCATATATAAACATTAACCTGAGTAACACCATAGTTATAATGTTAACATCTGAGGATTAATTTTAACTTGTGTTCAGTTCGTAAGTTATTATTTTCACTCGTCAGAAGAGCTTTATCAGTTGCTATTTTATTCTTATTATTATCTTCATATTATTATTACTATTGCTGTTATGATTTGCTATTGCTATTATTATTTTACTATTACTATTATTATTACCATTATTATTTTTACTATTATTATCATTATTTGCATTTCTAGTCTATGTTTTAACTTAACCCTTGTTTTAACTGCCATATTTCCATTACTTTGAAAATACTAATAAAATCATATTGCAGTTCTCGATTAACACACTGTCATACATAACATTACTTCCCCTTCATTACAAACCATCATAATCCAACCACTGTAATTCACTCTTTAAATTTACGTCCATCTGTGAAACGCTACCATCGTGTTATGGTGTGAATGTTGAGTCATTTATCCTGTTGCTAGATGAAGAAAACCCATAATATAATTTCTCCAGTAACTTTAAACATTTTCGTTATCTTTATTAAATTTTAAGACATAGTGTTTCATAATATTTTAAACGGAAGTGTTCAGTGGTTGTCGAATGGTCGCGTTTGCTTGTTACCGTTCACCTCACAAAACAAAACAAGTTATTTATCACTAAGAAAAACATACAACTGGATAATAAATCTTAAATGGTGGATTATGGTATTAGGAGACCACCATGGATAGATTTATTTATTGTTTTTTTTTTTTAGTGTAATGAATAAATTTTGGCGCAGCAGCTGTAATGCAAAATAAATCACCCATACATGCCTCATCTCAATTGATTTCTACACGATTCGTCAGTTAACCATTATTATGTTTTTCTTTAATTATTTCATATTTTTTTCATTAGTCTCACGGATTATGTTCATTACCCTCCTTAGTGTAGTAATGTATTCCTTATTTATTTCTCACTCAAAGAGAAGAAATTAATGAATGTATCAGAGCCAATGATTTATTCAGACAGTGTTGAAATCTACTTTATTATTCACTAAAAACTAAAATACCATTGAATCTAACTACAAAAAATAAAAAAAAATAAAAAATAAAATATCACCTAATAGAGTCTTTGGTTTCTGAGCCATTCAAAATATACAATGAATAACCCAACACTTCCATAACACCACTCATTATAACCCCACATATCAGTATAAACTGAAGCTACAACCAAGTTCCATCCACCAAGACATTTCCATTTCTTCAGGACGGAGGCGATAAAATAGTGGAAAAGTATTCACAAAGGGAAGGGAGAAGGTTCAGAGATCTTATGAACCGTAAGTTATGGCCACAACAGAGTAAGCTGCTCAATAACGTACACAAATTTGCATCCACATAAAAATAAATTAACGTTTGACAGTAAAATTATCCTCACCGTCAAGAAAATAAAATCAAATATCAGTCAGTCAATAGAAGACAGATTTTTTTTTTAGTGTGAATTAATTGTTTTTCTTATTCTAAATTAAAGATAAGTTGTTTTAGTATGTTATTTTGCCATTAAGTGTGAGTAATTGTGAGTCATGTAGGGTGATTCAGTTGTTGATAATGGATAGTTATTATTGTTTTAAGGTGATTAGAGTTGAGTACTAAGAACACAGCATGATGATGATGGTGCCTTGTGATGACCTCTAACAACGCTTCCCTCACCCCACCCCCACCCACCCAGTCAGTTGTACCCCACTGTAGAACAGGTAATACTGACCCCCCCCCCTAAATGCTTACCACCTGTACTCTCCGTCACACAGGTGTATTAAATCATCTCTCCCCGGTGTGCAGTGAGTTTCTTTTACCTGGTTTTTTTGTGATTAAATCGTGAGAAATAACAATAATTGAGACGACTATTTCTTACCAGGACATAAAATGCATGGTGTTGACTGCGTTCACTTGATCTGTCTCTCTCAAGCCAGACACGACACTTAAAAAAAGTTCATTTTACATAAGTTCCAACGTTAATTTGTCTACTTATACCACCACACTTTGATGGTTACTTAAGATTGGGTAAAAACACTCATTCAGTCGTCTATTTAATATGATAAACAATAACTTCACCTTCAGTCTATCAAACATGTAGTCTTGGCTGGACTTGAGATGTGACGAGGAAGAAGATTATGAATTCCTTAAGGCAATTTTTGTTTTAACTCTTTTTATTTACATCCTTTTTGATTTACATTAAGATTATTTACATTTATTATTATTTTGACGTTTGTTTTATCCCCCGCATTTAGAGTCTCAAGTTGTAGTCAGGTTTCGTTTTCTTAAGCTTCCCTTTGCCTATACCCAACGCTATCCCCTATGTCTTCAAACCCTCTTTCTACACTGAGGAACTTTCAACTGCATTCACTTTTCCCACCCTGATGGATTTAAGGACAACCACCTAACCCCCTACCCCCCCCCCCCCCCCTGCACCATTACAACCACCCAACCACTTTTTTTTTTGTGGTCAATGATTTGGTAAGTTTGTGGTTTAGATCTGAATAGGATGGTGGCTGGCCCTGGGCTCTTAACACCGTGAATATAACACCTTATTCATGGGTTCACAAGTGTGTTTAGTACCCCACCACGCACCATAGTACGAGTCAATCCAAGAAATGAGGCACTTTGGATCTGGAGTCAATCATCTCACGGTGTAGGTATAAACCAATGGGGATTTTACTCAACAAATCTTCTATCTTTAGTTCTGTACTTAGTCTCCCCCCCCCCTTCCATTTAGACTCTCTCCCTGCATTCAAAGTTCTCTCTCCACCATTCCCGAACTTTGAAATCCACACATTCAAAGTTCCTATCGTCAGAGACCTTCCCCAACATTCAGAGACCTTCCCCAACATTCAGAGACCTTCCCCAACATTCAGAGACCTTCCCCAACATTCAGAGACCTTTCCCAGCATCCAGAGACCTTCCCTTGCATTCAGAGACCTTCCCCAGCATCCAGAGACCTTCCCTTGCATTCAGAGACCTTCCCCAACATTCAGAGACCTTCCCCAACATTCAGAGACCTTCCCCAACAATCAGAGACCTTTCCCAACATCCAGAGACCTTCCCTTGCATTCAGAGACCTTCCCCAACATTCAGAGACCTTCCCCAACAATCAGAAACCTTCTCCTGCATTCAACAACCCTTATCGAGGATCCAAACGTTCTATACATTCACTGACCCTCCGTTTGAAACATGCAAAGGCCTCCCCAGTGCATTCAAATCCTTCCTTTGAATATTCATGGACGTTCCTTTGGCATTCAACACCTTTCCTCTTTGCACAGAATATATCTTCCTCTAGATTAAATGTCCGTCTCCTTAATCCCTCTTGAAATATTTAAAGCAATATTACTCTCTATTACCCAGGACCCACCCGGCGAGACTGTGGATTCCTTAAATAAATACATCTAGTGAATGATCCAACTCCCTCCTATGTCGATCTTGATACCAATAAAACTCTTGCTAGGTCATCCATCCCCCTAACCACCTCTGCCTCCCATACAACATCCACCCTTCCTCCATCTACTGTCCCTTAAACGTCGTTCCCTCCCTTTCCCCCCCTCTTTCGTTTAGCTCCCTACTCTCCCTTAGCTAAATTATTCCTATCTCCATTCCTCAGTAAACAACAAATCCGCCTACCTCTATATTTCGCCTCTTACTCTATTCATCTCAGAGAGGTTTCCTTTTCTCTACCCCCCCCACCCCACCATCCCCTCCCTCCATGTACCACCCCCCTACCCTCAAGCCCCCCCCCTGCCTTCCCCTGTAACTCCCTCCAATTTTTTCCGTTCTATTTCAACCTCTTCCCCTGTCCTTCTCCCTTTCCCCTGCCCTTTTCTCCTTCCCTTTTCCCCCTGCTCTCCTCTTCTTCCCCTCCACTTCAACCCGTTCCCTCTCCCCTTCAACACCTTCCTTACCCCCTTCCCCTTCTGCCCTTCAACCCCTAATTAACGTGGGGTGTTCTGCCGTGCCGCCCTCACAGACTACGCAGACGTCAAGAACAACGAGGAACGGAAGCAGGACGCCGACTACCTGCTGGGGGAGCTGAAGAAGTACATTGGCGAGGACTTCCTTCCCAATTACTCCGACTTTCTGGGTATATACGGCAGGGTGAGTACCAGTGGGTGGAAAAGGAGTTGTGGAATGGATGGCAAAATGGAATGGATGAGCTAGTGATGTAGGAAGGATGAATGGATGGATCTCTTCAGCTAGTTTACGATAATAGTATAGATGGTTGAAGAATGTTGCATAGGATGGAAGGCTATATTTATAATCAACTTCTTGGAATCAACGATATTTTATTTAAACCAATTTATGTGTTGTGTGTTGTCGAAGCAAGAATCCTAAGAAAAACAACTACATATTTGGTTGTTGTTGTTGTCGAGAGCATCGTCCACCCCATCACCCACATGACTTCCTCGCCTCTGCCAAACACAGTGGGAGTTAATGAAGAAAAGATACAGAAAATTAAAGCAGGAGTCAAGGTATTTCATTATTGTTTATGTATTGGGAGGGCCAGAGAGCACTTGAGGTTGACTACATATATATAGCTGGGGTCCTCTGCCGGGAGACACTAAATAAAGGGCTACAAACTACAGTAGACTTTACGATGATATATTATTATGTTTTAATAATTAACGTAAGGTTAGGTTAGTTGGTTAGGTTAGTTTTAATCCAACTCTTCAAGATACTGCAACTTCCTATATAAGATTTTCATAGTGGATCTCTCTCTCTCTCTCACACACAAACACACCCCCCCACACACGTACATACACACACACACACGCACACACGCACACGCACACACACACACACACACACACACACACACGTCCACAGCCACACACACACACAAAGCCAGGAAGTGTGAGGTAAATATCGATGTGATGACTGCGGAAGCTGGGAGTAGACTGACACACACACACACACACACACACACACACACACACACACACACACACACACACACACACACACACACACACACACACTAGGTGGATTAAGGCACTGTTTTTAGAGTGCCATAGATGTGGTGGTCTCAGGTGGCACTACGAGGGGAGGGGAAGGGGAGGGGAGGGGAGGGGGAGGGGGAGGGGAGGGAGGAGGAGGAGAGGAGGAGGAGGAGGAGGAGTAGTAGTAGTATCACCACTACCTTTATTATTGCCACCACCACACCTGACCAGAGGCACGTACAGGTATTCTGGCCAGTCATCAGGGGAGGAAACGGTGGCACCCAGGAAATATTTGAGTGGTGGTGCCTTGCCAGCCACTCACCTCCTGTGTCTGTGTGTTCTGTCTGTCTGTGTCTGTCTGTGTCTGTCTGTTTAAGATTGCTGATGACTGGTGGTGAGGGGTGACGGGGGGTGGGAAGGGTTGATACAAGAATCAGGTGGGGGGTTATAGGAGAGGGAGGGGTGGGGGGGGACAGGTGATATCTCTTCAGGTAAACCACGGGGTACAGAGCCTTTATACCGAGTGGCATTTTGGCTCTCAGGCTGCAGGTATGACACTGTCTGGCACTGTCGTCTTTCTAAAGGTATTCTGGTAACTAAGATCATCTCTCTCTCTCTCTCTCTCTCTCTCTCTCTCTCTCTCTCTCTCTCTCTCTCTCTCTCTCTCTCCAAACACATCTACACGCCCGGTATTGTCTCTTCTTCGGCAGCTTGGCACCGTTGGCATTGTCAGCCCCCCAAATAAAAAAAAATAAAAAATAAAATCCTGTAAAAATGCATTGGGTTAAAAACAAAGACTTACCAACCAGTGATCTGTCCGAGTTAAAGTTAAGCGAGTCTTTCGTTAACTTGGGGTAGGTCGAGGTTAAGGGCTGTTTGGTAGTAAAGTACATCGTTAACGCTGTGTCTTTAACCTCAGCGATAACAATTGTCACTGCTAGTTACATCCACACGGTTGACTACTAATATGCGATATCTACCACAAGAACAACAACTACCACACTATGACTACTAAAACTACCACAACCTGTAACAACCACAACTATATACCACAGTCTCATTTGGCCTCTTCATTCATACCTGCTGGAGATGGTCGTGTGTCTCTCTCTCTCTCTCTCTCTCTCTCTCTCTCTCTCTCTCTCTCTCTCTCTCTCTTCTTCCCCCTTTCTCTCCTCTCCTTTCCTTTCTCCTCAAAAAATATCTCGAGTACAAGGTCGGACTCAGCCTCCCTCCCTGATGCTACTCAAACGCGGCTCTACCAGGCCCTAAAGCCCAGGATTTTAATTAAGATCCACAGTTGAATTAGAATTTGAAGGTTTCAAAGTGGGTGTTCACAATCACAGGTTCTTTTTGGTGGAGACGATCAAAGAAAGACTTAATGGAAATTTTAATTGGAACTCTGCACCACCACCACCACCATCATCACTATTACCACAAACACCACCACCATCACAACTAGCATCACGAATACCACCACAACTAGCACCATCACCACAAACACCACCACCATCACTATTACCACAAACACCACCACCACCATCACAACTAGCATCACGAATACCACCACAACTAGCACCATCACCACAAACACCACCACCACCACACACCACCACAACCAGTCTACAGTAGGTTTCTACACATGGTTGGTTTCTGTGATGTATTCTCTAAATATTTCATAAAAGGCCTTGAATTATTACTATACGTTGTAGGCTTAGACTCAGAAACATTACGAGAGAACCACACACACACACACACACACACACACACACACACTAAAAAGCACTCATGAGACCCCCTGCCACGGTCTGTTTTCCCTACGCTATGTATAACTAAATTCCAATACTTCTAAATATCTCCAGAAGTTTGGCAAGGACGCGCCTGGCTGACTAACAAAGACACTCGTCACATGTCTGATCTCTACCCCGAGCTATATTTGTGGGGAGAAAAAAAATAATAATGAGGGTAACATGGAGAGGGGGGGGAGGAGGGGAGAGGGAGGGAAGGGGGTGAAGGGAGGGGGTGAAGGGAGGGGTGAAGGGGAGGGGTGAGAGGGAAGGGTGAAGGGGGTGGGGTGAAGGGGAGGGGTGAGGGGAAGGGGTGAAGGGAGGGGGTGAAGGAGGGGGGGTGAAGGGGTGAAGGGAGGGGTGAAGGGAGGAGGAAGGGAGGGGTGAGAGAGAAGGGGTGAAGGGGAGGGGGTGAAGTGGAGGGGTGAAGGGGAGGGGGTGAAGGGAGGGGGGGTGAAGGGAGGGGGTGAGAGGGAAGGTGGGTGAAGGAGGTGAGAGGGAAGGTGGTGGGGGTGAAGGGAGGGGGTGGGGAGGGGGTGAAGGGAGGGGGTAAGAAGGGGAGGGGTGAAGGGGAGGGGTGAAGGGGAGGAAGGGGCGAAGGAGGGGGGGTGAAGGGGAGGGGTGAGGAGGGAAGGAGGGAAGGGAGGGGGGGTGAAGGAGGGGTGAAAGGGAAGGGGTGAAGGAGGGGTGAAGGAGGGGGGTGGAAGGGGAGGGGAGAGGGAAGGGGTGAAGGGGAGGGGTGAAGGAGGGGGTGAAGGGGAGGGGTGAGAGGGAAGGGGTGAAGGGAGGTGGGGTGAGGAAGGGGGGGGGGGAAGGGGTGAAGGGGGGGGAGGGGGTGAGAGGAAGGGGGGGTGAAGGAGGGGGGGTGAAGAGGGGGGAAGGGGGTGAAGGGGAGGGGGGTGAAGGGAGGGGGTGAAGGAGGGGAGGAGGGGAGGGCGGGGGTGAAGGGGAGGGGTGAAGGGGAGGGGGGGTGAAGGGGAGGGAGGGGGGGTGAAGGGGAGGTGAGAGGGAAGGTGAAGGGGAGGGGTGAAGGGGAGGGGGGTGAAGGGGAGGGGTGAGAGGGAAGGGGGGTGAAGGGAGGGGGTGAAGGGAGGTGAAAGGGAAGGGGGTGAAGGGGGAAGAGGGAAGGGGTGAAGGGGAGGGGGTGGAAGGGGAGGGGGGGAGGGGTGAGAGGGAAGGGGTGAAGGAGGGGGGGGGTGAAGGGGAGGGGGGTGAAGGGGAGGGGGGGGGCGAAGGAGGGGTGGAAGGGGAGGGGGGTGAAGGGGGGAGGGGTGAAGGGAGGGGGGTGAAGGAGGGGTGAGGGGAAGGGGGGTGAAGGGAGGGGGTGAAGGGGAGGGGTGAAGGGGAGGGGTGAGAGGAAGGGTTGGTGAAAGGGGGGAGGGGGGTGAAGGGGGGAGGTGAAGGGGAAGGAAGGGAAGGGGACGAAGTGTTTACTCTATGTTCTCTCATGCAAGAAACACTAACCTAACCTAACCTAACCTAATTTAACCCTTACGCCAAGAGAATAAGAGGGAAAGTCTTCAGCATAAAGCGATAATGGACAGTTTAAAACAGCGATAAACAAACAGCGATAAACCTACAGTAGCCTACACAGTTTTTCAATATCCAAAACTCTAATATACCGTAGCCCCCTGCCCTCACCCCCCTCTCTCCCTTCCCTTCCTGCTTCACGAGACAAACAAAACACACACACACACACACACACACACACACACACATTCTGTTTATTTTTCTCCTAAATATTAATTAACAAATCATAAATAGCTAAGATAAAATTAAAAGTCTCGGATTAAATTTCGAAACTAATATGAATCCGCCATCTTTATGTTATAACTTCAATAATGACTCAGGGTTCGTTTGACGTCTCACAACAATTGAAACTTTACGAATAACCCGTAACTAATATAAACCAGTTCTCACACTACCACTTAGAAAAAAACATCCATTTACGAATCTTTGAGAATTTTTTTTTGCGTGTGTGTATTAGTGATGAATCATTTGTGTTCTCGTGTCACCAACGTACAGTAAAGTAACTACATTCGATCCACATTCTCAGGTAAACTATATGAAGAAAAATTGTTAGCGTTAAGAATGTTTGAGTAATCCTAACTTTGTATCGTAAGCATTAATGAACCAGTTATATGGACTCTCACAATACTGGTAGAATCTTACAGAGAATCCGAGACGTGGGGGTGTTGTAGTGAGGAATTTCCGACGACTGAGGGATGCGTGTCTTGGCGAACATGTGACCACCACCACCACCACCAGATCACCACCTAACATACTAACCTATTTCTCCATGTTGTTTATGTGTTTGGTACTGGTGAGGCAAGAGTAGTAGTAGTAGCAGTAGTAGTAGTAGTAGTTCAGGTCCATTACAAGCTTGGGGAAAACAGACAAGAATGGCAGGGTGGACGAGATAGCAGGGTGGACGAGATAGCAAGATAGCCTCGTGAAAGTTTATACAATAGGTCAACTACTAGCATAGTTTCAGTGTTTTGTGCTGTGTGTTGGTGGTCCCAGTGAGGTCGAGTGATAGAGCTTTACACACACACACGCACACAGTCCCAGCTAAGGATAAGCAGAGGTAGGTCATCTTGATAACATACGGACAGGGTCAAATAAAGGCATAAATAGGCAGCAACACAGGGAAGGAGAGGGAAAAAGGAGAGGGAGGAGGGGGAAGGAGGTGGGGGAGGGAGGGGGAAGGAGGGGGGTAAAGCTCCACCTGTCAACACGGGCGCCCAGATAAGTCATATTATCACAGTCTGTTGTTTATATTCCGGTTTATCGTCACATCTGTTGTCATGTTACGGTGCATCGTCACGTCTGTTGCCATATCCAAGTGCACCATCGCGTCAACTGTCATGTCAAGGTATACACACTGTCACGGCCTCTCTCACACCCTTGTTATTTCCCCCACGTGAGCCTTTCAAATCCCCCCCCCCTCATGTGTTCCCTCTTCCTCACCTGTCCCATCCCTCACCTCTCACTGACTCAACTCCCACCTGGTGTTGGCTGTGCGTCAGAACCCCGCTATTGGCACCTGCTTATTACCATACCTCACACCAGGGGGGCCAGGTGAGAGAAGGGGGGGGGGGAGGAAGTGGAGTCACCAAAAGGGGAACATGGGGAGGGAAGGGGGAAATAGAGTCACTAGGAAGTTAGGTAGTGGTGGTGGGAGGAGAAGTTGAGTTATCATTGTTATTATACTGATACACCTGACAGGGGACCAGGTAAAGGTGAGATGGGAAGACTTGAATCATCAGAGGAAGAAGCACCGTACAGTATGGTGAATGGGATTGTTTCCCTTCGTCATGTTAGTGTATTGTCCTCACACACAGAGACAGACAGACAGACAGACAGACAGACAGACAGACAGACAGACAGACAGACAGACAGACAGACACACAGGGTTATGTTTACACTTTTGTATATCTCTATGACACAAGTGAACTATTTTATCATCTTATCCCAGAACGACTAAAACAAGACGACCCTTTTAACGAGACAACCCCCTTAAAACGACCCTTCTAGCAAAACAACCCCCTTAAAACGACCCTTCTAGCAAAACGACCCCCTTAAAACGCCCCTTTCTAGCAAAACAACCCCCTTAAAACGACCCTTCTAGCAAAAAAACGACCCCCTTAAAACGACCCTTCTAACAAAACGACCCCCTTAAAACGCCCCTTTCTAGCAAAACATGACCCCTATCAAAGACTTCCACCTCCAAGTTACTGTACCGCACCATCTTAACACACCCTGACCTCACTCTCTCTCACACAGATGCTGGTCAACAGATTCTGCCTGTTGGACAAGACCATGATGAACATAGGCTCGGCCATGTATCTCTCGGCTTCCATCTTCGACCACGCCTGCAAGCCTAACTGCTACATCTCCTTCGACGGGAAGAACGTGCAGATCAGAGCCCTCGTCGATATGCCTAACTTTAGCTATAGCAAGGTAAAGGGAAACAACAAATGGAAAGGGACGGAATGGGTGAGAAAAGAGGGAGAGATGGAATAGGGAGGGAAGGGGGAGCCATGAGGGAGAGGGGAGAGGATTTAGGGAGAGGGGAGAGGCATAAGGGAGAGAGAAGGGGAAAAGGAAGAGAAGACCAAGAAAAGGGAGGGGGGGAAGATATGGAACAGAGAGTGGAAGGGTGGATGAAGCAGGGAGAGGAAGGAGAGGTGTGAGAGAGAAAGAGGGAAATAGAGAAGGAAGAGAAGGATTAAAGAATTGATGAATGAATGATGGCAGAGGGGAACAAAGGTGTGCAAGGCAGGGCAGGGCAGGGCAGGGCAGGGCAGGGCAGGGCAGGGCAGGGCAGGGCAGGGCAGGGCAGGGCAGGGCAGGGCAAGGGTAATAAGACACCTCAGGGCTAACCTTCACCATGACTGAACTAAACTAATCTTACTCGATCCGTTTAAGGGAGAAAATTGAAGATCTAATGGGGGACACTAATGGGGAAACCAATGGGGTATATACTTGTGATCTAATGGGGAATCTAATAGGGATCTAATGGTGGATTTAATAGAGTTTAATGGCGTATATAATAGGGGTCTAATGGAGAATCTAATAGGAGGTCTAATGGCGGATGTGTCTGTCTGTCTGTCTGTCTGTCTCATAAGTCAACCTCTGAACCACCCTTAACAAATTACCCAAGACTTTAATTATAAATAAATAAAAACACTACATCACCAAGAGACATAAGCAGTCACCCCACATCTGCACCTGTCATATCCATTAATTACAGGTAAGTTTAGTCATTCATTATCCTTCTCTTCAGTAAACATTAAACAAAAACGTATAATCGAGTAAACAATTGTAAGATATAATAATGATAATGATAATGAAAATAATAATAATAATAATAATAATAATAATAATAATAATAATAATAATAATAATAATAATAATAATAATAATAATAATAATAATAATAATAAATAACTTGATCGGGGATTCGAATATGGTATGATACTATTTCTGGAGCCTGTGTGTATGTGTATGTGTATGTGTGTGTGTGTGTGTGCTTGCTTACAGGAAACGTTCACAGTGTGTGTTTACGGGGTCGTGCCAATTATGTTCCTTAAGGTGACTCCCAAAGCAAAATAATAGTGTATATTGGGAAAACCATAATGTCTCTTCACACCCACAGGCACACCCACAGGCACACCCACCCACCCACACAGGCTTCAGAAATAGTGAAGTGCCAACTGAGACCATGTGAAGGGGGCTTTGTAACCATTGACACTACACTGCCTCAAAAAAAAAAGTTAAATCGGAAAATATTCTTGTCCTTAACATGAAAACAATTCCTTCGTGGTGACCTTTTTTTTTATATTACAGCCAATCTATTTAATATTTACTAACTTCAATTTATATTATCTTTGAATGGATTTCCGAATACCAATAACCATGTAAAATTCTCCACCTAACTAACGACGTTAAACAACAGTACAGGTATCTGGCTCATAAAGGTAAAATACAGGTGAGAAAGGTATCAAAACACACTTAGACGCTAACGTAGTAATAACCTAACCTAAACCAACCTAAACCAAACCAACCCAACCTAAACCAAACCAACCCAACCTAAACCAAACCAACCCAACCTAAACCAAACCAACCCAACCTAAACCTAACCAACCCAACCTAAACCAACCCAACCTAACCTAACCTAACCTACCCGAACCTAACCCTGGCAGTTGACCCTCTACTCTCAAATAAGGCGGAGTCCATAAATCACCTCAGCTAGCTACTATTTTTACCTGTGGCGATCACCTGAGACAAAACTAGCCAGGGTTTATTTTTATATATACACACTCAGTTGGCAGCTCTTAACACTAGTGGCCAAGACTCCGTGTGTGTGTGTGTGTGTGTGTGTCCGTGTGTACTACAGGCTAACAACACGTCATATGCCACCTATGTTTTCCACTACGTTTTGTTATTGTTTTGTCGTTTTGTGAGTTAATGTTACGACGAAGTTTATTATATTGAGATAAGAACAACAAGAACAGCTTATACCAGGGTAGGGGAGATATTGCTGTGATAACCTAACAAGAAGTAGCAGCTCCTCGACCCACTGACGTCCAGCGAGTGAGTTAAGACACTGTATAGCCCTGACACTAAGATAACGAAAGGCTTTAAGACAAATTATTACGTATATATGAAGCTGATAAGCCACAAGGCGGGGAATAATAATAATAATTTTAATAACTAATACAAACTAATGTGTGTGTTATTGCCGGGTGGTACTGTATACAGGTAGGGTCTATTATTGATATATGAGCAACGTACAGTACAGTCACCTGGTCATATAATCTTGTCAACACAAATGAAAGAAAGGGACCATTTGTTTCACTTTACAATTAACTGCTTAGGAAAAAACTAATGTCAAGTTGAGATTATGTAAGAAGGTGGCTGGTGTGTTTGTCCCAGTAGGGTAGGGTAGGGTAGGGTAGTCTCTCTCTCTCTCTCTCTCTCTCTCTCTCTCTCTCTCTCTTAGTTCTTCTATGTAACCACGTCCTAAAGTAAGACCTCATTAATTTAACCATCTACTGATCTGACCAAGCTCCCACCTTAACCATTATCAAAGTCGACTTTTTCTCGGGGTTTTAACAGTGTCGGATCAGCTACACCGACCCTGTCTGCAGCGTCACTAGCCGTCGGGAGAACCTCTACAAGAAATGGTTCTTCTGGTGTGACTGTAGCTTCTGTCACGACGAAGGGAGAGTCAAGTTCGAGAACACCATCAAGTGTGGTGAGTGTTGGAGGGAGGGGGGTGAGTGTGGGTGGTGAGGGGGGAGGTTGTGGGGTGAGTGAGGGAGTGTGGGAGGTTGTGTGGCGAGTGAGGGAGTGTGGGAGGTTGTGGGATGAGTGAGGAGTGTGGAGGAGGAGGGTGGGATGAGGTGGAGGTGGGGGTGGTGAGGGGGGAGGTTGTGGGGTGAGTGAGGGAGTGTGGGAGGTTGTGTGGCGAGTGAGGGAGTGTGGGAGGTTGTGGGATGAGTGAGGGAGTGTGGGAGGTTGTGGGATGAGTGAGGGAGTGTGGGAGGTTGTGGGATGAGTATGGGAGGTTGTATGTATCAGTAATGTCTTCGCGTCTTCGTGTTCATGATTCCTTCTCCTCTCGCCGTACAGAAAATGTTAACTGCCAGGCGCCCGTGACTGTCCCTGAAATGAGCAGATGGAAGCGTGCAGCGTGGCAACAAAAGGCCACCACGAACGGTGAACAACAGAAGGAGACAACGAAAGATGAACAACAGAAGACATGGGGCAATGAAATACAGCGGAAGCCATCAACGGAGGAAAAACAGCGTGACAAACAACAGCAAAACGGGAAACAACAGCGAGACAACCAGCGTCAGGAGGAAGAGGAGGAGGAGCCACCGGCGTGCAGTGTGTGTAACTGTCCCGTCAGCGACCTAGCCATCAGACAATACCAGCTGGCCGTCACCTTCACTAAAGAGAAACTCAGTACCATGTCCGAGGAGAACCCCAGTATCCTTTTAACCTCACCACCAGGAAACAACTCTCTGCTCCTATGTTTTATCACCTAAGTTTATTGACAATTTTATGGACTAACTAACCCAATGAGATTATTTCTATGTTTCTTCCACCTCCTCCTCCTCCTCTCACTGTCCACACCGTTTATCAGTTTACATCATTTTATACAGCTGGGAAAAAGACAGATAGACAGACACAGTCACATACAGAAAAGGAGAGGGGGAAGAGAGAGACAGAGAGATAAGCAGACAAAGACAGACAGACCCGATTTCCTTAACCAGTGCATAAATCCAAATCATTTCGGATAGCAGATACCAACATATTTATCTCATTAAAAAGTTACAAATAAATTTCTTCCTTAACGAGATTGACACAGCCCTGGAGAGCTGCTTGGAGATCCTGGAGAAGCAGGACAACTTCTCCAGTATGAACGTGTGGAGAGTTCGCACGACGGACTTCGCTTTCAACGCCTGTGTGTACAATGGCTGCTGGATCCGCGCCCTTACCTACGGCGAAGAGAACCTGTGTGGTATGAGGTAAGGGAGAAAGGGAGATGAGGAGGGAGAGGGGGGGAAAGGGAGATAGGGGAAAAGGGGGTGAAGGAGAGGAAGGAGGGAGAAGGGAGGAAAGGAATTAAAGGAAGACTAGAAGAGTGAAGTAGGAAGAGGAGGTACACACACACACACACACAAAATATTATCGAATTCCGAAGATTACGTTTCGTTTACACATAACGTCATAGCTTATGTGAGTAATTGGATGATTGATGATTAAATGTCCAATATGCAACGGGGAATGGGTTGGGTGTCAAGGGTAATTAGCACTCCTATGGCATGACCCCGTTGAAATAGTTTAGGTCCGGGTATTAGTGTTGAAGTGCAGCGGTCGTTCATGATTATGGTGACAACACACACCATAACATTGTCGGCCAGCGAGTGACGAGCTGTCTGTCTATCTATCTATCTATCTATCATTCTATCTTATACATTTTTCCATTGATTTATCTACAAACATATACATAACCGGTTTATCTATACATATACGACAATACATGTACGGTGTATACTATAATTAACCATCAATCAGTCATATAGAGAAGCACCTGACCGTGAATTTGTTTAAGGTGTAGAAGCTGTCGCCAACACAACAACCACACCCTGTGTTAACGAGCTGCATGACCCAGTGTCAAGGAATAGTCCGAGAAGACCGGACAACTCGCCAACTGCACTGGCTAACCATTACCCCGGAATACGATCCACAAATCGATTAACATCCAGGTCCTCAATTACTACTGGGTAGACGGAGGCAAACGGTGTAAAGAAACTTGCCCATAGATTCACCCTGCCCGGGGATCGAACCCGGGTGTAAGCTGAAGTGGGATAACCTTTACATGTTTACCTTATATGGGTCTCTATTGTGTGTGATTTCTCCTGTAACTTTTTTCTCCACTTTATGGTCGAGTAGACGAAGTAGACCATTGTACTCATATGTTCCTAACCTCACCTCACCTTACTTCCCTTCAATTCACCTCACCTTATTTTACTTCACTTCAATTCACCTCACCTTACTTCCCTTCAATTCACCTCACCTTATTTTACTTCACTTCACTTCACCTCACCTCACCTTACTTGACTTCAATTCACCTCACCTAACCCTTACTGTCAATATTTTCATCGAGTTTTTATTAATTGTTTTCATAATAGACAAATAAGAACATGTATGCGTGTTATGGTTCCAGGTACTACTACGGGTCGGAACATCCTACCCTCGGCCTCTTCCTCTTCAAGTTAGGTAAAGCAAAGATCTACTTCAAGGAATTCCGAGACGGTATCCGCTGTCTGGAGGAAGCTGAACCACACGTCGTTAATGGTCTGGGCCCCAACCACCCCATCGTCGAGGATCTCAGACTCACCAGTCTTATGGCGAACGAGGACATTGAAATCTGCTTAGAGAGACGCATAGCAGCTGCCAACAAACGACAGATGGAGATAACGGCGAAGGAAAATAATGTCTTCAACTACAAGAGGGAATTAGAGAAGATCTTCAAGTACACAAGCCCCGTCGCTTAGTGTAGGACTGACACACACACACACACACACACCACTTAAAGAAAAATTATCCCCTTAAAATCAAGTAAAATCTTCAAAAATTCCGACAGGACAAATTGCTCTATACAAACAGGGAAGGAAATAAATGGAAACAGGAAAATAAACATACTGTACCCCCTCCACCTCCCCACCCATCTCCATGATAATTCTCAACATCTCTTGGAGGGCTTGTAGTGGCCAAAGAACGATACTAGACTTTATAAAAATAAATAAATAATAAATAAGACTTGCTGTTCAGGTAACGTCAAGCCATATTTACGGGTTACGTAAATAGTTATAAAAAGGTGGGCAAAAAAAAAAATATCAACGCGATAATGTAAACCTGATCTACACCAATCACGTTAACCACAACGTATCTATCGGGGCTATAGTTAATGTTGCCTCCTTCCATTACATTAAACCTTATTTTTTTTATACAATCATCCACACATTCACCATAATAATAATAGGAGTTAATTAAGTGTTTCAACATATAGTAATTATTATATACCTGTCCATCCTAACACAAAGGTGAACTCTATGAGGTAAGATAATAATGACTCAACATGAAATAAAGTTCTATACCCAAAGTATTATAGATTATGAAGTGTTGAGTATAATAATGTTTCTTATCGTCTCAAGATGCCCATAATTATGTAACTCAGGCGGATATAAAATCTCATAAAACTCAATCACTCAAGCATTATTATTATTAACATTTTGGATTCACTGTGTTTCTGCTCTGTCTGGACTTACAATTAACTGCTAAAATATAGAGGCTATTTGTGTGTCCAATTAATAGACTTTTGGACTTGGCTTAAAAGCATTATATCTTATGGAAACAGTTTGTATTAATAGCTAAAAGGCAAAACAGATCTGCTACAGCGTTAATCTTTCTATCATAACCAATACTGTTATTTCATCTGTTTTATATACATTAGTTGTAGATTCTGTGTATATAAATTGGTCAAGAATCACTGTATATATCCTGCATATAAATCTCTTCCTGTTAGCGTTAGTTTGTATTTTTCCTTCAATTAAATGGTAAAAATTTTCATCGATTTACTTGCGTTTGTTCCCACCATTATGTAAGTGCTCACGAAAAGGAAAAATCGTCGCTGGTAACCCAATGAAGTTTGTTCCTACCACGATATAAGCTCATGGGAGGAAATAAGTCGGTGGACGGGGCTTCGAAGCATTGGGGAAGGAATAAAAAAAAATCGTAAGAACCTAACCTAACCTAACCTGGTCATTGTAATCAGCCACTGAGTAAATATTCCACAAACACTGGCATGAGGATCTGAACGAGTGAATCAAATTAACAAAAAATACTCAAACATTATTCGCATCACATCTAACTCGAATCTTTCAAATATTATCCATGAAGGGAGACAGTTCCCCCTCCCTCCTAGAATGACAGCGACTCATGTAACAGGTATTAGCTCAGGTGAGAATCATAACACCACCGTCACTTGACTATCCCCGGCCTCAGTATGAATGCAAGGCTCGTACGCTAATGTTTCCAGAATTATGGCCCAATATAGTTTAAATAATGAAATACATTAACAAATTCCTAATGAAACTTAAAGGAGAATGGTCAGGTACTTACAGTAGTTTGAAGCCAGCTGCTGCTTGTCGATGGCCGTCACAATCTAGAGTCACAGCCTACAACACGGCAGCAATAAACACACACGCCACCTCCAGACACCAGCACCTCCCCAGGGGTATACACACTAGTCGCCCAAACCTCGGCTACGACTCCTCAGCAGCACAGACAGGGCTCAGGGCGGAGGACATGGGCACCACACCGGCCAGAACAAACACCAGAACCAAACTGCCTGTAAGATGAACTTTAGATTAGCTCAGAGGCACATATTCGAAGCTCCATGAAACTCCAAAACAATTGAAACTTACTAATAAAACCTTTTTACTGTTAACACACTGAACCATTACAAAATAAAACAGATTACAGGATTTCACTTCTCATAAATTATACAATGAAGACTAAAATATACAGAAATCCTTTATAGAGGTCAAGCAATGTAAGATTCCCGATATATTAACGATACATACCCCTCCCTCCCCCATGGTCAGTATCCCAGTCAGTTTACAATACGCCCCTAGCAATATTAACATAACACAGTATTAACCTAAAGTAACAGTAACGTCTAAATTTTACTGAGAATCTGTCCTAACTATTTGCATTTTCTTTTTATTGCCACTCATTGGAAAATTAAATAAATTAATCTTTGAGACACTTGTCCGAAACTCACACGGATAACCCCCCGTCCTATACGCTGGCTGTGTTCGGTGATCACACACACAGCACTGAAAAATGAGTTGGTGGTGTTTACAGGCTGAAAATATCGGGGGGCAAGACTCGTTACCTGTACACCTGGCAGGTCTTGTTGTGACTAAATATATACAGAATGTGACGTTTATACCACACTGATAACTGTTGTTTCTATAAATATAACTTAATGGAAATTATTATAAGGTCAAATTTCCTCCGTAATCTTTAAAACGTAATTTAAAAACATAAATAAACTATGTGCAGTATATCTAAGCTAGTACTGATGCTGTCACGGTCTGTATAATGTTGTACTACAGTTCTACAGCAATATTTGCTACATAAACACTGGGATGATTTTTCATACCAGAAATATAATGAATGGGTATTTTATGATCTCTAAAACATGATAGGACCAAACGTGATGGCGTGCCTGTGACCTATCTCCCCTGCGACAACGTCTGTGACCTATCATGCGTGTAAACATGATAATTTTTCTTGAAGGTTTTTATAGACTTACTAAAACATGCCATTGATCCCCACAAGAGATCGGATGAGTCCACTAATACACCTAAACCCAGATAAAAGAGCCAATTATAACAGGAAATACATAACAAAAACCTACTTTCCTTCCCGGGGATTCGCAACACACAACAGCCACCTCACGCCTGCAGCCTTCACAACCAATAACACACTATACACTACACTATACACTACACTATACACTACACTATACACTACACTATACACTATACACTACACTATACACTACACTATACACTACACTATACACTACACTATACACTACACTATACACTACACTATACACTACACTATACACTATACACTACACTACACTATACACTATACACTCTTACAGGTCCCATTACTATACAGCCTCGTGTTATTTGCCTCATCAGTGACCAGGCCTCTCTCTCTCATCCTTGCAATCCTGGTGGCAACATAAGTCATTCTTTATCATGCCACCCCTCCCCCCTGAGAAAGAGGGGGGGGGGGGTAGACAGAGAAAGGTGGAGAATAGAGAGAGACAGAGAGGCAGAGAAAGGGAGACAGCGATAAACAAATAGATAAAATGAGAAAAAAATAGACAAGAGGGAAACACAAATAAAATTAAAGACAAACAGACAGAGAGAGAGAGAGAGAGAGAGAGAAAAAAATAGACAAGAGGGAAACACAAATAAAATTAAAGACAAACAGACAGAGAGAGAGAGAGAGAGAGAGAGAGAGAGAGAGAGAGAGAGAGACTGCGAGAATCAGAGAGACACGGACACAGAAAGATAGAGAGAGAAAAAGGAGAGAGAGAACATAGAAAACGTGTGTGTGTGTGTGTGTGTGTGTGTGTGTGTGTGTCGCGCGCGTTGACAAACTTTGATCTGGCGTTTAGATCCTGAATTGGGGGTTATTGCTTCACCCAATTTTTTTTCCCCTCTCTATTTTCCTCCCATCCCTCCCCATCCCCCGTTTTTTCCCCTACAGTGCGGTGTCTACCCTAGCCACTCCTGTTTTATTCCCCTCAACTGGACTATATTTCACCGTTCTCTTCCCTCCTTTTATTGAATGGTGAAACAGAACGTGAAAAGCTTTTGTTTTGTTTGTTTTTCCCCACTAACCTTCTACAACCCAGTCCATCTCCCTACCCTACCCTCCCCTTCCCTTCCTCCCCACCAATTGAAGTCTGTAGTTAGGTACTTGTGTGTGTGTGTGTGTACTACGTAATCGTGAAGCTATAGGAATTCAGCAACTACAAGGTAAGTTCTTCCTCACTCAAATAGGTAGGAGAAAAAAAATCCAATCTCGTAGGAATTTCACCTCCTTGCCTTTTGCGGGGAAGGGGGCGTATATATCTCTCTCTCTCTCTCTCTCCTTACACACACACACACAACCAACCGACTAACCTCCCTATATATCTCCCCTCTTGAGCCACCACTATACTACTGCGGGGGATAAAATTGCAAAATCCTCAGACTATTTCCACCACTAGGCAGAAAGTTTACAGAGCGGAAATATCCCTCGGTTTAATAAAGTCGGCGGAATTGTGTGTAACGAGCAGGTTTTTTTGGTGAGTCTGTTTGATTGTTGACAAAAAAGGGGGTAGGGGGAGGGGAGGGGGAGGGGAGGGGCGGGGAGGAAAAATTGGTATCTAAAACTGAAGCTGTTAACGACGACCAGTACAATGATGTAGGGTGAATTTTGCTCTGTGTGTGTGTGTGTGTGTGTGTGTGTGTGTGTGTGTGTGTGTACTCCGGAAGGGGGGGTAAATATAGCTGACACACAGACCTATATACAGTATACAGGTACATATATATATATCCAGGTTCCGTTTATCTTGTCGGCCATGAGAATATATACCATTTAGTTCTGTGGTAAGATGTTGTAGGTTAGGTTAGGTTAGGTTAGGTTAGGTTAGGTTAGGTTAGGTTCACTGTCACCGTGTTTGCCCATCACCATTACGTCCCTCCGCTCCTTCCTTCCTTCTTTCTTGTCCCTCGTTTCTTACCTCCCATCCTCTCCTTCTCCTCCTAATCCCCCATCATCCCTTTCCCCTTCTCTATCCCCTCCTATCCTCACCCCTACCCCCTAATATTTCAATCCTCTTCTCCACTCCACTTACCCCCAACCTCCTATCCCTCTGCTATCCTACCCCTTTCCTCCTCCCATTCCCATCCTGCCTTGTAACCCCTTCCAACCCCTACACTTCCTCCCAATACCCCCCCCCCACCCCCCACCCCCCCCTCGTATTTTCAGCAGGTGTTGGGAGCTTGTTGACACACGCAGGTAATTATATCTCACATCCATATTTATGTTACAAAATCGTCATTATTGTTGTTATTATTCCGACAATGTATATTTGTTATGAATAAAATATACAATTTACACTCACAAAACTGTATGAAACGATGTATTTTTTTTTGGTTGTTGTTGTTTTTTTTTTGCATCGTAATGTATGATTTCCTGATGATTCCGACAGAAAAAAAAATAAACATTATGGGTTTATGCTCGCGCTAACTGGGTCATGAGAGCCAGTTCAGTTTTATATCATTTTTTCTGTTTTTTTTTTTTGGTGGATATCGCCAACATAACTTAGTACGGAGAGAGCTATACGATGTTTATACTTACCGACGATGTTTATGGACAAGTCAACAATCCCTGCAACTGTTATATTGTGGGAGTCGAGAGATATCAGATTAGGTCAGGTCAGATCAGGTCAGGTCACAACATTGAAAAAAACCCACAATCCGACATGAATTGGTAACCTGATCGAGTACAATTTATTTATATATACTTTTCTTATGAGTAATGAAGGACTTCTTAACTATATCAATTACTACATGAATATAACAACAGAATTTCCCAGGGCTGAACTACTTACGCCAGAGGCAACAATCGTTAATTACTTCATAAAACGTCTTCTAATTATCCCTCCAGTCGTTAAGCTCAGTACAACACCAGTGTAGCGAGGTAAGAATATTTCCCTCTTAATATCATGGCTGAGATTCCTATTTTATTTACATATTTATCCATATCTTCATATTTTTCTTGTTTATTAATTCCTTTACCTAGTTACTTATTCGTAAACACGCTCACATAAACACATACTTGGACTTATAGATGAATAAAAGTTGTAATATTGCAATGGTAAACACCTCGCCTCACTCTCGCTATGTAATATAACCCACAACACCTCAGGGGCTATATATATATATACTGTATATATACCAAGCTGATGCAATCATGGCTACACG